ATGACCTCTGAATGCAGACTCCAGAACTGAGTGCTCTGGAAAGGTGAGGAGATAAACAAGGCAGTTCCTGATTTTGCCAAAGTCCACCTATTTTTGCGCATAGAAGGAGAAGATCACGAAAATATTAGAATTCTATGCAGGGCCTGCACATGTGTATGTCCCATTGTGTACAAGAACCAGTCAGCTTAACCTCTTCACACCACCTCTCCAACTTCCAAAATGATTCTGGGAACATTCAAAATCTGTCACAGATGGCTTGAGAGTGGCAGTAAATTTCAGGGTATGTGCAGGTGACTATGGGGATGCCACCGGTCAGGAAAGATGGCAGACGTGACATTTACACCTGGACTGCGAGTCTAAAATAATGGAACAGCTTCTGCAGCTCCTGGCTGCCGGTAAAGTATGGCCATAGCAGCACGGCATTTCCATTGCACTTCCTAGTGGTGCCCAGCAATCAAAAGGAGTACTTCTAATAAAACTCCAAACTGATGATCAATATTCAGTTGATCTTAGCTCAGTTTAGCTCCAAGGCCAAATTCAGTTACCATTGGGGCGGGGGATAACCAGCTAGAAGTGGAAGTTCTACTCTGCTCTCATCTGATGAGATGCTTGTACTCCATTGCAAAAGCTTCAAATGAGAGCCACTAAGGAAAGCCGTCTGATGTTCCTGATTCACACAATTTCATTTGTACTGTTCCTCAGTGCTATGGTCCTTCAAGCTGGATTGCAAGACACTGTAAGGAAGCCTGGGAACATGAAAGGATTCAGTTCACAAGAAGTATTTATGTAGAAATATAACTTCCTATCCAGCATCCAGTCACAGGAATCCCTGAGTTTTTGGGTTTTCTGGTCCATTATCACGGCAAAGTAGGTGTCCTTGGTGCAGAAGCAAAAACAAAACAGAAGAAGGTAAGAAGAAGTTAAGTCCTTTCAGTATTTCCTCATAAATTAGAAAGCAGCAAGATTATCCTTCTGTGTTTGATTTTAAAAGCTTTTTTTTACGTATCATTCTAAACGGTGCCAAAATGCAGCTCTGTATCATGTTGAACCTCTACTGAACAAGAGGAGGCAGAAAAACAGCAGTTAGAAAAGAAAGTGCAGTGGGAGCCCTGACATGTACCAGTGTATGTAATATTTGAGCAGGTATGTATCACAGTCCCACTGATGACCAGGTTGATCCAAGAGACTGATATATGCAAGTTTTGCACCGCTGTGGTAACAGCGTATCCTACTTCCAAGCTGAACAACCAAACTGGAAAAGAGAGAGTGCTACACGCAGCGGAGTGCCCCACCTTGGCCATGACAAGTTCAAGAAAACTGAGACTGAGACTATTTCTTCAAATGGATGAAGCTTTGTAGGATATCACTGAAACAAGTCAAAAATAAAATTTCAGGAGGCTTTCAGAACCACACAAGAGAGTGAAAGATTTCAAACAGATTGATGGACTGTCTCCTTGTAAAGTAACAGTTTAATACTTGGGAGTTCTGATCTAGAATGTCACTGTTCTGTTCAGTATTCAGTCTTTTCCTGCTCTGCTCCAGACACCAGCCCTATGTGGTGTCCATGTCTTCCCTGTTTCAGAATTGTATTACTTCCAGGCACAAATTTTATCATATTATTATTTCATGTCTGGAAAATTCACCAATTTTTCTGTTTATCACTGTGACTTATTCAGTGGCCTAATTAGCTGTGAGATCTGGGTCTCTAATCCCTTGACTGGCTCTGACCTTGAAGGATTTTGGATAAGCAAATTTTTTGGTTTTAGCTTGCATTTATCCATTAGGAAAATTCTAATGTTGAATTTTTTTTTACATTGTGGCTTTATAGGAACTATCACCTCTAAATTCTTGTGCTGAATGTGAGAGAAAGAATAATAAACCAAATTTCTTCCTTTTGGGACAGAAAGATCCAAGTGCACCAGAACTTTATAAACCTAACTAAAATCTTTCTTTCTCATCCTGCCTGTGAAATAACAGCATGCAGGTTTGAGAAACAGTATCATTCAAAACCAGGACAGTATAGGTTATTAATTATCATGATAATGCTAAGAAAATAATAGTTTTTATTGGTGGCCATGACATTGTAAAGGACCTTCAAATGCTGTTACATACCTCCTTGCACACACAGCCAGTTTCTACATCCTTATCACTAGGAGCCTGAGCATCTTACATTTGCAGTATTTACTATATTTGCAGTGGAGATAATCAGCAAAATTCCCACTGCAGGATATAATGCAGGTGTATTTTACATACTGTTGCACATGCAGGCACATTCTAATGTGGTTCCAAAAGTACCAAGGCTTTTATCTATACTGTCTCATTGGGTATAGATACTGGCCTTAAGGCAAGAAAACAGCAGATAACAACAAGATTCCAGCTTTAATTTTGGACTCAAGCCTACAAAGATGTAGAAGAGGCCACAGGAGAGGCACCAAGGGTGTTTTAGAAAAGTTGTGTGCTGAGGGGCTCACCAGCATTTGCTGGGCCATGAGCACTCAGGGAATATCCAGTTGCACAACACTTAATGACAAAAGGTTATTAAACTGTTTTTCAACCAAAATGTGGAGAAACAAGTTGATTAGATCAAGGACTTCTATGACTAAAACCAGAATCTTCCAAGTCCCACTGAAATGCCTGGTTTGAAGTCTGTATTTTATCAGATGCATGGGGAGAAGCTCCTGTGGGAGGCCACTCTGTCAGAACAGGATACAGCCTAGCACAGGCCAACACAGCAGTGCTCAGAGTGAGGCAGAGTTATGCACACAAGGAACCACAATCTGGCACAGAGATGAAATATCACTAACCAGCTGAGTTACCAGCTTGCAAGCTCACCTGCTCTTCTAGGGACTGAAAGACGGCATCAACCGTGAGCACCTGACGGACTGTATTTTGCATCTGGGTGAGACAACTGCCATTTTAAAATGCTGGTGATTAAATAAAAGTAGTGGGACACGTGATACTCACTGCCCCGCTCTGCGGACTGTTGCTGCGAAACGCTGGCAAGACAGGTGCATCTTCATCTCCAGAACTCTCTTGCAGAGACTGCTTTCATAGTTTGGTAGTGAATTTTATGACAGCTGCAAATTTATCTTCAGTTTCTTGTCATCTGTGGTGTACTTCTTGCAACCTTCTTTCGTGGTCATTGACTCTTCCCCTGCTTTCACAAGCAGTGAAATCATTGGCTCCCATCAGTCAAAATGACCCCCAGTTTCCCCTACAGTTTATCCAGTGCACAGTCATAGCTTGGTGCCACTGAAAATGTCCACAACCCACTGGACTTCTAGACTTTTAGATCCAGGCTGCCCTCTCAGTAGGCACTGTTTATGAAACTGCATGTGGCTAAAGGAAAGCTGGAGGTGAATCAGGCGGTCAGAGTGCAGGGAACAAAGCGTGCACATGCCTGTTAGGGTGTGAAGCAGAGGCTATGTAATACAATTGGCAATGGAAGGAGGTGGTGCAAGGAATGAGGTTGGTACTTCCTCCTTTTAACACTTATGGTTCATTCCTGCCTTTCCCAGCAGCTCGGGGGGCCCTCACGGCCTTTGAAACAGACTGAAAAGGTACTTCACCAATGTAAACATACCAGAATTGCAGGGCTGGGGCAGACATATGGGGGCTGTGGTGTAAGACAGCGGAGAAGATGGAGATGTTGGGACAGACAAAGGAATGCCACAGGCATGGCAGGAGACAAAAACCTTAGAGGAAAACGAAGGCAGGTGGGAAGTGAGAGAGATGGTGCTATCATCATGGATGAAATCTGGGGAAAGGCCAGGATGCCGTAGTAAGAAAGGCAGCACAGAATCAAAATACGCGATGTATGTGCCTCGTGCATTTGAACTGGGAAAGGAATGCAGTCATGCCAGGGGGCTTTCACCTGAAATGTCAAGACTGGCCTGCTTCCATGAAAGGACCAAAAGCAAGGATGACAGGACAAAAAGTCTTCGTGGTGTGGACACTGAGACACTTGTCTGGAGTGAAGGCCCTTGAGGAGAAGCTGTATGAGGAGCAGCTGAGGGCACTTTCAGCCTGCAGGAGACTGAGGGGAGACCTCATTGCAGTTACAACTTCCTCATGAGGGGAAGAGGAGGGGCAGGCACTGATCTCTGCTCTGTGGTGGCCAGCGGCAGGACACAAGGGAATGGCCTGAAGTTGTGCCAGGGGAGGTTTAGTTTGGATATTATAAAAAGATTCTTCCCCCAGAGGGTGGCTGGGCACTGGAACAGGGTCCCCAAGGAAGTGGTCACAGCACCAAACCTGACAGAGTTCAAGAAGTGTTTGGACAATGCTCTCAGGCACATGGTGTGACTCATGGAGATGTCCTGTGCAGGGCCAGGAGTTGGACTCGATAATCCTCGTAGGTCCCTTCCAACTCAAAAGGTTCTGTGATTCATACGGCACCTCGTGGGCCTCCTCCATGTGGAGCTGGAGCCTGTCTGGAGGACGCTCCCGGTAGTCCTCCACAGGCCTGACAAAGGCGGAAGGGGAAGAACAAGAACGAAAAAAGCCTCCAGCCCTGCGCCTGGGGTCCGCAGCTTCCCAAAGCTGGCGAAAGGAGTAACGCGATCGGCGACCGAACGCCGGCCGGTGGCGTGGGCCGGGCTGCTCTCTGCCGCTCCTTCCCCATAAAAGAGCTGAATAACGCGTGTCCTGCGGGTCGGGCCGGTGCTGGGTCCCGTTACCTCGGCCGCTTCCTGCCCGCCCCACACACACACACACCCCCGGCCGGCCCGGCCCGGCAGCCCGCGCGGGAGAGCCGCCGCCCTGCCCGAGAGTTTCCTCTTCCTCCGCCGGGGCGGCAGGAGGAGGAGGAGGAGGAGGAGGAAGGGGAAGGGGCCGGGAAGGCTCCAGCGCGGCCGCCGCCGGTGCGGCAGGGGCGGGGCGGCGCGGGAGGCGGCGCCAGCGGCCGGCGGGGCCCGGAGTCACCGTGTCACGGCGCCCGGGAAGCCGTTGCCGCCGGATCCGCCCCCCGCAGGGCGAGCGAGGAGGCAGGAGGAGGAGGAAAGGGAAGGAGGAGGAGGGAGGCCGGCTCCTCGCCGCCTCTTGTGTTTTCGCCCCCTTCCCGGCCCAGCCCCGGCCCCTCTCCTCTCGCAGCGGGGCGGCGGCGGGGGGGCGAGGCCGCAGCGGCGCCCGAGCTGCCCGCGGGAGCCCTGGGAGGGGCCTGGGCCGCCGCCTCTGGACTAGGATGTCCCGACATGAAGGTGAGCGGCGCGGGGCGCCCAGGCCGCTCCCGGCGGCGGCGGCGGGGCCCGGCCCGGCGGCCTTGGGGGCCGATCATCATCATCATGGCGCCGCCGGCAGCGGGGCCCGGGGCCCGGCGGCGGAAGGAAGGCGAGGCCCGGGCGGGCGGGCCGCGCTCTGCAGTGTCATAGCGGGGCAGGCCGGTACGGCCCGTTCGCCGCGCGGCCGCGGCCGGGCGGGGCCGGGCCGCAGGTACGGCCGGCGGGGCCTCGAGCCGGCCCCGCTGCTCTGCCCGAAGGACGGGCGGAGCGGGGCGCGGCAGGCCCGGCCGCGCTGGGTGGGCGGCGGCCCCGGCGGCGGCGGCCCTGCCGACGTGTCGGCCCCGCCGTGGCGGGTCCGGCCGGGCCCGGGGCCTCGCTGGGGGCCGGGGAGCGGGGCCAGGGGCGCGGCGGGGCGAGCGGCCGGCGCGGCCTTGCCGGCGGGTGTCGCGTCCTGGCGGCCCCGGGAGCGGCCCGCTCCCCCTGTGCCGTGCCTTGCCTTGCGGCGCAGGAGGCCGATGCTGGTGTGGTAGTAGCGTGTTTTGAGGCCGCCGAAGAAACGTGTCCTGTGTGCTGCCTGCCCCCCTGGTCCCGCTGTGTTTACCGCCGTGGAGGAGTTCGGTTGGTAGTTCGGCGTTAGTCAGAAGGAGCAGGGTGGAGGAAGAGATGGAAGCTAAGCAAGGAATCTGTACAGGAAGAAGATGGGAGTGTGAAAACAGGAGAGAAAGTCGCTAGGTTTTTCTGTGCCTGTTTACCAGTGTGCCAAGTGTTTGGACTAGTGTTAAAATAAGTCTGTAAAAGCAGGGTTTGTCGTTTGAAAAGATAACCTTCTGCCATGTTGGGAACTTAATTCAGCACCTGTCTCCATTTTATCTTATCTAATTTTTAATTTCTCTGTTTAATCTTAAAGTGTTTTGACAAAACCATTTTAGGGGAATCCAGTATTTATGACTCATAATGCTGACTTCTAGTTAGTCGCTTGATGCTCGACAGTGGTGTGTATGCGATGCATTTTTGGTGTGTGGTGCAGTATTTTGCAGACTTTTGCAGTATTTTGCAAGTATATGTGCTTCCCTATCAAAGAACTGTCTTCCCTGAATCCACTAGCTCTTTTTTTGCTTGCTTGCTAAAGTTAAATTTAGTGGGAGTGCTACTTTCTGTTTCTCCCCTCCCCCTGCCCTCCATAAAATACATGTTTTCCCAAGAGGCTGGAGATGGATTTCTTTATGGTTAAAGATGCAGTTTTTAACTGAAATGAAATGAGCACTGATCACAGAGTTGTTGTTGGTGGTGGTGTTGTAGAACTACGCAGTCAGTAAGACTTTGCTGTGATGCATGTATCCATAAAATTTCTTTAAAGTGCATTAGTAGAATACAAGCTTTTCTAGCTTGAACAGGTCAAAATCATGGAAATGATATCATAGTGATATCACGTGTTGTTTTTTAGTGTTCTTCAGTGGTAAGTGCATGGACTGTTATAAAAGGTGTTGATGTGTGCTAAAAAGACATTTCAGTCCTGGAGTAGCCTTTTTAAGACAGAAAAAGTTTGAGGGTGGGTTTCCATGTAACAATGTTTCTGATGGAGAAGATTTTTTTGTAGCAGAGAAAATTACATTTCCTCTCTCAGATATTTGTTGATATTTTTAGTAGGAGTGACTGTTAATGAAATCAGGCTTAATATTCTCTTTCCGAAGCAGATTCATCAGTGATTGTTCTGTTTAGGCACATCTAGTTAGATAGAAAGGTAAATAGTTGTCTCTCTTGCCTGGTGAGTGTGAGTTTTGGTAATTTTTTTACCATGGATGTGTACTTCTCAGGTGTGGATGAGAACAGACTCATGTTCTGAAAACATGAGAAGACTGTGAGATTAAAAATGACATCTGCTACTTTGTCCTTGTGATCATTTTCATTAACGAACTAGTCTGTCTCTGAATTTCTCAATGATTCTCCTCTTACCTCACACTTCAGGTGTTTTGTTTTAGTCAGCTTTAGCTGCAGGGATAGAATATCATGTATTAGTATGGGGGTTGTGGTTTTCCAGCTTCGTGGAAAAGAGGTTTGGAGACTTGACTTTGGTAGAACTCTGGAAATCTGTAGAAATTAGATATTAAAAAAATAATTCATGTGTAAGGTCATTCATAGCTGACAGCTTTTGATCCAGTGTAACTAGTTAGGGGATGGCTGTCTTGGAAGAATGTGGCATAGAGAAAAAAGCAAGATTTAATCATGTTCAAGTGATTTTTTCTTTTTCTATGTGTTTCCTTTAAAATGGTCTATCTGCAAAGTTACAAAGATTTATTGATGGTTCTTGACAGCATCTGGATGCTGTACCAGTTTTATGATGGAAAAGGATTAAATACTGGAGAAGTTAGAATTCGAAAGTTGTGAAGCATCTGATGGAGACTTAAGCTTACTTTACAGCCAAGTTTCTTGACTTTTTCTTTGGTGTAATAATCTCTGCAGTTCAGTTGTTGGGGTGTTTGTGGTTGTTCGGTTTTGGGGGTTTTTTGGTTTTATTTTTTTTGAGGGAGACTTTGTTATACTTCGGAAAAATTCTGACCACAGCCTCCCTGTTCACTGTGCTCTCATTTCACACATGAACTCTAGATTCATGTTTCTGCCGAATTCAGGAAAATGGGCACCAACTAGAATTTGAATTTTTGATGCTTTTTTTGAAACTTTCATTCGGTGTTTAAGAGGCTTCGTTGGTAATGCTGTCAAGAGTTGAGTATTTATCACTTGCTATTGCTAGTCTCTTCTAACTTTTCAAATGCCTTTTAATTCTGTGATTTGGTGTTAAGAGACTAGCTACTCTCTGGTTTTGTAGAATGCAATATGAGGTCATCCCCTGGTCTTGGATTTCATGTTGTTCCCTTAGGAGCAGTGTGCTGTGTTTCTCTGGATTAGCCCCTCTGTGGTGGAGTATGTGGTGGTGTAATATTTGGGAGCCTACAAGGAACAGGTAGGTAACTTTTTTTTTTTCCTAATGCTCTAGAAAGTTTACCAGAAGATAGTTTGCTTATTAAAGATTATTTCTTTCTTTGGACATCCATCTGGCGATGATCTCTCCTGTGGCAGGAGACACCACCCAGGCCAGCACAAAAATACAGAATTGCCACTTCCAGTAGAAGACCACTTTTGCAACTTCTTTTGCAGAACTGGGTTACTGCAGCATTACTGGCCGGGCCTCAGGTTCCACACAGCTGGCAGCTCCAGAGGGCTTCCAGTGCCATTCCACCAGCATCACCTCCGTCTGGTGTGCTCTGCATCCCAAACCTAGTTCCATCCTTTTTTCTTATTCTTACTAAAGGGTGTAGTCTTTAAGCTTCAAAAAAACAGCGATAAGTAGTGGTGATTTTTGATGGTGCCTGTTTGTCAGCGGTTTTTGTGAATCAGCAAAACTCTGCAGTTAATCCTAGTCCCACATGTAGTAAAGTTGTGAACTGGTGGTGGTGATGCAGCTAGGAAGGGAGAGCTCCACGGAGTGACTGTGGAGTTTCCAAATGTTCTCTGCCGCCTTCAAGCTCCTTGTACTTCAGTGAGCTGATGTCTCGGTGCTCCTCTCTTGTGTGTGTATACATAAATGTGTTGCACAGAGATACTTACATCGAGTGGTTATTTGTAAGAGAAGGGTAAATAAGTAAACCTTAAAAAGAAATACACCAGACTTGGTCTTTGAAATTCAGTCCGTCGTAGTTGCAGGTGAATATGTACCAGCCACTTAAAAACAATTAATGTAAGGGTAATGGTAGCTCGAGTCCACTAGCAGAACGGTGAAAAATTGGGAGTCTGGGCTGGTGACATCTTCTGTATGCTCACAATACAAAACATAAACAAAACTTCATAACAAACTCCTTGAAAATGTTAAAAGCAAGAGTAATTTCTGCCCTTTGTAATTATGCAGCAGCTGTTTCATACCTGAGCTGCAGAAGGGCACTACAAACTTCTGAAAAGACAAATAACACTAAGCAGTCATGTGTAACTTAATACATCATGTAATGCTTGTTATAGAATTGCTACTAAATGCAGAATTAATATATTTTGGCATGTAAAACTTTTAATTCAGTTAACAAGACTACATATTTTTCATAGAAAGTAGTCAAGGTACTGTGTTGGTGAAGTATGGCAATTAATAATGAAACGTGCATCTGTGATAACCAGTTACAACTTGCTGCCTTTTGGTACTTACTTTGCTTACATATTCTCCAAATATGGAGTTTGCTATTTCACAATACAGAATAATAACAAATTCTTTTGTATGCTGCTGCCACTTCGATCTATTTTGTAGAAAATAAATCCAGATTAAGTTGTATGTGTAATACAAAACAGGTTTTTTGAATTTGCACCAGTACTCGAGTCTGATGGAACATTTTATAACTGTGTATGCAAAGTGCTTTATACTCCTGTTAGTTTTACTCTATGGTAGCATATGAATGCATCTAATTACAGATGTAGTGCAGTATCTGAAAATGAGCTAGTGTGACAATTGGACTGTTGAGAGCTGTGTTTAGACAAAAAATGTTCATGTTAAATATAAACAGCTGGAAATGTAATTAGAAATATTTGAACACAGTAATTTGCTTTATTATTAAACTGTTGTTTGATTTCAGTAGGAAACTGAATGATCATTTAATAATAAAAAGGGCTGGAAATGTAATTCATATTTTAACTGGAAAGATAACATACTGGTTTTGTGGAAGCTAGGTTTTCATTTTAAAAAAAGGTTTCTGGTTCTGATGGTTTAGGAAACAGGGTGTGAACCAAGATGCTGCTGTCCCTACTGAGTCTGTGAACAAGGTCCTCCAAAAGTGTTTGTAAAAGAGAGACCATTTTTTCTCCCAGGTGTTCATAAAAAGTAGTACCAGGGGGTCATGGGTAACAGGAGAAAAAGGTTAGATCTAAGTTATCTATGTTAAAAGGTTGGTAGCCGTATCTTAAGCAGAAAAATGGGAACAGAACAGTGACACTTTAACTGGTTTTGG